GACCTCATACCTCATCAGCCCGGAACTGCTTCCGTGTAGGACTGTTGGCGCAAGCTACAGTAAAGTGATTATTACGTTTTTTATTTTTTCTTACAAAAAAGCATCGATTCGCTTCAGAAGGCCTTTGTTCACCCCCCGGAGCCGTGTGAGACACTTTTTTTTTATTTCATTTTTGGGTGAACTAACCCTTTAAGATTTAAGACCCCTTTTCGTGATTCATTTGAATACTCTCCTACTATAAATTTTGCGTCTGAAAGGGAAACTCCTACAAATACATATTTAAAAAGGTCAGGCGCAAAAATAACTGTCCACGCTTTTTCAGCGCTAATTCATCACTGCGCGTCTTTAGTAAAACCTGACAGTACTATTTAAACGCCAAAAGACAGTTTGCGCTGGTGCAAGCTGTTAGTAAAACTGGCCCTTAATGTGTGTATCCAGGTTATAATCATTCAGCCCCAGATTCCCAGCAACTCCAAGAGTTCTCCGGCCTCACAAACTAACAGTCCTGTGAAGGAGCCAAGCCCTGACCCTTCAAACCCAGCCAAAAAGGAGGAGGATCCAGAGGTACACTCACAACTAGTCTTGGCTATTAGAAGCATTGTTGACATGACCAGTGCACTTCGACAGGAAGAGACCATCTGATTGACATGGCAATGACTAATTACAGCAGTGTTGTATTACTTGAACTTGTGGAGGACTTGAGTCTGAGTTTGGTGTTGTCTGGACTTGAGTACTACAACACTGAATTAGGTAACACTTTATTATAGGGATCAGTTCTCACTATTAACTAGTTGCTTATCAGCATGCCTATTATTAACATATTGGCTGTTTATTAGTACTTATGAAGCACAACCATTATTCTGCATGACCATATTCTACATCCCTAATCCTACCCAATACCTAAACTTAACAACTACCTTACTAACTATTAATAAGCATCAAATTAGGAGTTTATTGAGGCAAAAGTCATAGTTAATGGTTTGTTCATAGCGAGAATTGGACCTTAAAATAAAGTGTGACCCTAAATTACTGTTCACTCAAACCTTTCTGATCTTGGAATTTGGGGATGCCGGAGCCTATCCCATGTCTTGGGTCATAGGCAGGGAAATAACCTCGATGTAGGGCTAGCCCATCATAGAACCACAGTTAATGCATGTGGAATATATAGTTGAGGATATCTTATTACTAATGGCTCAAACAAAACTCTCTTGAATTGAAAATCTTTTGTCAGATTGAGTGACTGGTTCTTAAAAACTGATCAGAAATTTGGTACCTTGAGTAACTGAGAAGTAGCATTTAGGCCAAACAACTGTGTTTGGACGGGTTTTCAAGTAAAATTATTTCTGAAGAGTTAAGTTAACATCAAAGGTATTTCAATATTTAATGCATTCACTTTATTAACCTTCTGTCCTACAGAAAATTGCCTTCATGGCCGCACTAGGCCTGGTCACTACAGAACACTTGGAAGGTGAGTTGCATTCAGGGTTTAAAATTACCACCGCTAGATCCGGGGGGAAATCAGCCATGGTGGGAAGTGGGAACACACACATATCAACTCAATAGCCAGTTTGGCAGGTTATGATTCATAAATGAAGTACTCCAATCAGGAGCCTCCAATATTAGCAAAACAATGCATAAAGAGGGTTGCAAACTGTACGAGAAGTGCCACACGAATACCACTTCAGTTCCTGAATTTGAATTGAGGTATCAAACAAGATGCTGAATTGTAATTATAATATAAATTACATTTAGTATAATTAAAATGGAATAAAATTCAAAGTAGTTTATAATGAATTACCCATACACCTATAAGCTATTTTCAGTAAATATTGGACATATTAACTCTTTCCCCGCCAGCATTTTTTTTAAAAAGTTGCCAGCCACCGCCAGCATTTTTGATGATTTTCACTAAAATTTCATGGCCCCCAAAATATTTTGTTTGTATGAATATCTAAACATGCAATACATCAAAATAGAGAACAAAGCCTCTACTTTTTAATTAAAAAAAAAAAAAATCTGTTTTATTCTAGCTTCAATCATTCTTTTTTTATAACACTTGAATGTAGGTAAGAAGAATATCTAATTTTCCAAGTTTGAAATCGCCCTTCAAAATAGAGCCAAATATCAATATATCATCAATAGACTGATTTTTGAAACAATTTTTATTAAGATTTATTTTGGCATTTTTTGACTTCATTAGTATAGGACAGTGTAGAAGTGACAGGAAGCGAAGTGGACAGGATCTGGAAAGGTCCTCTAGCCGGGATTTGAACTCGGGACGCCTGTAGCGCAACCGACGCTATATGTTGGCACGCTGCTCACAAGGCTGTCAATATTTCTGTTGTCAATATTTATTATTAATATGATGGTCATTTTGTGGTTCTGTTTATTAAAAATCTTTTCGATGATTGTTAATTGTTTTGATAGTATTGATCTTGGAGAAATATGTCTAGTCAGTTAAAAAAATGCATTATATGTATCAGTGAATAAATGAACGCATTCGCCAAACGTGTTGGTACATGACTGTGTTGAATTGTTTTAAATTGATTTAATTTCAAATTCCAATTCTACATCTTGTGTGTTTTGACCAGTTACATTGAAATGAACAATGAAAGGAGACAATTATTCTGATTTCTGCTCAACTTTGAATGAAACAATTTAACAAATTAACAAACAAAAACTAAGAAAAGGATTCAGTGTGAGATATTGGGGTTTAAAGTTCCATCACAGATGGTGTTTTCATTTCTGTCAGAGATCCAGAGTAAACGGCAGGAGAGAAAAAGGCGAAGCACAGCTAACCCTGCATACAGCGGACTGTTTGAACCAGAGGTCTGTCTGACTGTCATAGTTTCTTTAAATAATGTTCATTTTATGGCTATGTTCATTTGTAAACATTTGTATCTTGCTTTTCAGCGCAAAAGACTTGCCTCCAATTACCTGAACAGTGCGATGTTTCTGTCGGCGAGAGGTAAAATAGATTTCTACTTCTGTCAACATAATGGTGTTGGGGTTGAGCTGAAAAATGATGCATGAAATGCACAGAAACATGTTTGAACAGAATAAATTAAACTCACACATTCATCATAAGTGCTCATGTTTTAGTTCTTTAACCTGTGACTATCAGTGACTTTGACATGAAATGTTGACCTTATAAAGCCAAATGCTAACTGCTTTAACCTGCTGATTACACGCCAACATTGCTGTTTAACTCTAATAACTCAAGTTTTGTCAGTGTGACGGCTACTAACCTACTGTATGCTTTTACTCACACGCTAGACTCTGAGGAGCTCTGCTGGAAGGTACGACTTTAACATCACTCTGTGTTTGTGAATCACGTGGCAAGAATATACAAACCTGTATGACTTTCTTTTTTTTGTGGAACATACACACAAAATGTACAGTTACGGTACTTTCCCATATGAGTAAAATTACAATATTCAGTTATCGGCGTAAAGTACTTTAGAAATGAAGTAAAATTGAAATACAATTTAAGTAAATTACAATTGAAGTACTTTACAGCCTTGGTCAAAAAGCTGTTTTTGTTTTTGACCAAATGTTTTTTGAACTGGCAAAGATAAAAATTTAAAACCTTTCAAACTCTCTGACTGTGTTCTATCGTAAACAAACACTGTGACACCCATAGCCCATTATCATCCCTAATCCTACCCAATACCTAAACTTAACAACTACCTTACTAACTATTAATAAGCATCAAATTAGGAGTTTATTGAGGCAAAAGTCATAGTTAATGGTTTGTTCATAGCGAGAATTGGACCTTAAAATAAAGTGTGACCCTAAATTACTGTTCACTCAAACCTTTCTGATCTTGGAATTTGGGGATGCCGGAGCCTATCCCATGTCTTGGGTCATAGGCAGGGAAATAACCTCGATGTAGGGCTAGCCCATCATAGAACCACAGTTAATGCATGTGGAATATATAGTTGAGGATATCTTATTACTAATGGCTCAAACAAAACTCTCTTGAATTGAAAATCTTTTGTCAGATTGAGTGACTGGTTCTTAAAAACTGATCAGAAATTTGGTACCTTGAGTAACTGAGAAGTAGCATTTAGGCCAAACAACTGTGTTTGGACGGGTTTTCAAGTAAAATTATTTCTGAAGAGTTAAGTTAACATCAAAGGTATTTCAATATTTAATGCATTCACTTTATTAACCTTCTGTCCTACAGAAAATTGCCTTCATGGCCGCACTAGGCCTGGTCACTACAGAACACTTGGAAGGTGAGTTGCATTCAGGGTTTAAAATTACCACCGCTAGATCCGGGGGGAAATCAGCCATGGTGGGAAGTGGGAACACACACATATCAACTCAATAGCCAGTTTGGCAGGTTATGATTCATAAATGAAGTACTCCAATCAGGAGCCTCCAATATTAGCAAAACAATGCATAAAGAGGGTTGCAAACTGTACGAGAAGTGCCACACGAATACCACTTCAGTTCCTGAATTTGAATTGAGGTATCAAACAAGATGCTGAATTGTAATTATAATATAAATTACATTTAGTATAATTAAAATGGAATAAAATTCAAAGTAGTTTATAATGAATTACCCATACACCTATAAGCTATTTTCAGTAAATATTGGACATATTAACTCTTTCCCCGCCAGCATTTTTTTTAAAAAGTTGCCAGCCACCGCCAGCATTTTTGATGATTTTCACTAAAATTTCATGGCCCCCAAAATATTTTGTTTGTATGAATATCTAAACATGCAATACATCAAAATAGAGAACAAAGCCTCTACTTTTTAATTAAAAAAAAAAAAAATCTGTTTTATTCTAGCTTCAATCATTCTTTTTTTATAACACTTGAATGTAGGTAAGAAGAATATCTAATTTTCCAAGTTTGAAATCGCCCTTCAAAATAGAGCCAAATATCAATATATCATCAATAGACTGATTTTTAAAACAATTTTTATTAAGATTTATTTTGGCATTTTTTGACTTCATTAGTATAGGACAGTGTAGAAGTGACAGGAAGCGAAGTGGACAGGATCTGGAAAGGTCCTCTAGCCGGGATTTGAACTCGGGACGCCTGTAGCGCAACCGACGCTATATGTTGGCACGCTGCTCACAAGGCTGTCAATATTTCTGTTGTCAATATTTATTATTAATATGATGGTCATTTTGTGGTTCTGTTTATTAAAAATCTTTTCGATGATTGTTAATTGTTTTGATAGTATTGATCTTGGAGAAATATGTCTAGTCAGTTAAAAAAATGCATTATATGTATCAGTGAATAAATGAACGCATTCGCCAAACGTGTTGGTACATGACTGTGTTGAATTGTTTTAAATTGATTTAATTTCAAATTCCAATTCTACATCTTGTGTGTTTTGACCAGTTACATTGAAATGAACAATGAAAGGAGACAATTATTCTGATTTCTGCTCAACTTTGAATGAAACAATTTAACAAATTAACAAACAAAAACTAAGAAAAGGATTCAGTGTGAGATATTGGGGTTTAAAGTTCCATCACAGATGGTGTTTTCATTTCTGTCAGAGATCCAGAGTAAACGGCAGGAGAGAAAAAGGCGAAGCACAGCTAACCCTGCATACAGCGGACTGTTTGAACCAGAGGTCTGTCTGACTGTCATAGTTTCTTTAAATAATGTTCATTTTATGGCTATGTTCATTTGTAAACATTTGTATCTTGCTTTTCAGCGCAAAAGACTTGCCTCCAATTACCTGAACAGTGCGATGTTTCTGTCGGCGAGAGGTAAAATAGATTTCTACTTCTGTCAACATAATGGTGTTGGGGTTGAGCTGAAAAATGATGCATGAAATGCACAGAAACATGTTTGAACAGAATAAATTAAACTCACACATTCATCATAAGTGCTCATGTTTTAGTTCTTTAACCTGTGACTATCAGTGACTTTGACATGAAATGTTGACCTTATAAAGCCAAATGCTAACTGCTTTAACCTGCTGATTACACGCCAACATTGCTGTTTAACTCTAATAACTCAAGTTTTGTCAGTGTGACGGCTACTAACCTACTGTATGCTTTTACTCACACGCTAGACTCTGAGGAGCTCTGCTGGAAGGTACGACTTTAACATCACTCTGTGTTTGTGAATCACGTGGCAAGAATATACAAACCTGTATGACTTTCTTTTTTTTGTGGAACATACACACAAAATGTACAGTTACGGTACTTTCCCATATGAGTAAAATTACAATATTCAGTTATCGGCGTAAAGTACTTTAGAAATGAAGTAAAATTGAAATACAATTTAAGTAAATTACAATTGAAGTACTTTACAGCCTTGGTCAAAAAGCTGTTTTTGTTTTTGACCAAATGTTTTTTGAACTGGCAAAGATAAAAATTTAAAACCTTTCAAACTCTCTGACTGTGTTCTATCGTAAACAAACACTGTGACACCCATAGCCCATTATAACTTACCGATCAACTAACGTGGTTATTATTATAAAAGAAAAAATAAATAAACAAAACCAGTATGTTAGTGAAATAGCACTATTGTGTCTGTACGGTTTCATGTGACCAGTCTGATGCATTGCTATGGAAATAGTAATGTGATGTGTTCTAAAATAATGGACTCCTTAAAGAAATCTCAAAGGGGGCTCAGAATATTTAAAATGTTAATTATTTAACTTTTGGTCACACTTTATTTTAAGGTGTCCTTGTTATAGTGTAATTATAATTAAATGTAATTATACATTTACGTACTGAGTAATATTAATTAACTGCATGCACTTACTATATGGTTAGGGTGAGGATTAGGGTTTGTGTTAAGGTTACTTACATGTAATTATGCATAATTTATTGTTATTATAATAGTAAGTACATGTAACATGTATAACAAGGACACCTTAAAATGAAGTGTTACCTAATATTTTTTACAGATAATTTTTTACTTGTGAAAGGGCTAATAGTTATGCTTACATAATATTTAAAGTGTATATGAAGAATTGCTGACAGACTGTTGTGTGGTGTGTTTCTGTAAATGTGTGTGTGTGACACAGGAGGAGCTGCAGCATGATGATCACTGTGCAGTGTGTAAACAGGAAGGAGATCTTCAGCCGTGCCACACTTGTTCCCGCGCCTACCACCCCGACTGCCTGCATCCACCTCTCAAAACTGCCACCAGGGGCATATGGATGTGCCCCAAGTGCCAGAAGAAAGTATGTTCCTCTTTGCTTTGAACACACACATTATAAAAACTCCAACAGCACAAGGATGTCTGTAGGACATTTATTTGATGTTTTTTCATTTCATCTGGACAATGTAATAATCTGCGTGGATACAAACTAAATTTTTGTCTAATGCAATTACCAAAGTAATAAATTGATCTTGTTTTAGGAATAATTAGATATTTTTACTAGAAAATATATATAGCTGTCCTCTTTTTATGTTGTAATGATAACATGCGTTCTCTAGCAAAACCAGATGAGTTCAGACAAGCACTTCCTGTTTACTTTACAGCTTGCAGTGGTTCATACAGCTCCGTATGTTCACAGTGGAGCGGTTTATACAGTTTTATTTTGAACTTGGACTCAAGTATAAAGAAATAAAGTAAGTGCTTAGTTCAAGGGATGGTTTTGGGACATTCTAAAACACTTAATGTGGCTTAATGTTTTAAAACAGTGACATTGGAGCACCAAATTCGATAATAATAAATATTGATATCATTATTAGGCTAATATTAATAACCTCATTAATAATATTTCTATTAATAAAGCAGAATAGCCCAGAATATGAAAACAATGCGCTGCACATTAAGCTTTTTTCCCCCCATAGAAAACACTTAAGGTGGGCTAATGAACAAAGATGGTGATTTAAAAATACCAAATCTGTTTACAGTTTATATTACACACAGAAAAGCAGATGAGCACAGAACGGAACGTGCAGTTTCACGTGTTTTCACCCCCGTAGAAAAAACATTATAAAAAACTCTTAGCACATTGCTTTTCTGTACATAGTGTATAGGCTATTTTTAATAAAATGTGGTCTTTTTATCACTGTTTTTTATATTAAACCACATTAAGTGTGCTTTTCAATGGGGGAGAAAGCACTTACCATGCAATTCAGATCATATTTTGGGCTCATCTGCTTCCATGTGCACAGTACTTATTTTTGATACATAATATAGCATATTTGGTCTTTTTTATCATCTTCATTAAGCCGCGTTATGCGTTTTATGAACCACTGCAAGCTGTATAATAAACAGGAAGTGTTTGTCCGAACTCAACTGGTTTTGCAAGAGAACGCAAAAGTTTTGTGAGGGAACGCCAGTATCTTTTTGAGATAATGCAAAAGTTTTGCGAGGGAACGCAAAGTTTCTCGAAGGAACACAAAAGTTTTGCGAGAGATCAATTTTTCCCCCAATTTTTTTCCACCACCATCTCCTAAATCTGCGTAAATATATGGAATGTTATTAGAGCTACTTTTTATTTTTAAGCATTATTTTTTACAATAAAGTTCTACAGGTTTTCGTTTTTTATATATTTAACTATATAATTATTATGGTGTTGTTTAGAAGTTTGAAGTGTTGTTTATTTTATTTGTGAATTATTAATTCATACATTAAGCCCCGTTCACACCAAGAACGATAACTATAAAGATAACTATAAAGATAACGATATTAGCGTCCACACCAGCGAACGATATCATCTGTTTATTCTAAGCGCACATGCGTCTGCCGCTTTAAATTCTTGAGCTCGTTACAGCAGGATGGATTCTGATTGGCTGTCGATTTTTTTATCGTTCATCAGCTGGGAAAAAATCATTTTGAAAGTGATCACAACGATATCGTTCTTCTGTATCGTTATAGTTGTGGTGTGAACTATGCGATTCTTGAAAGTGATTCCAACGATATCGTTTCTCTTTGTCTTTATCGTTATAGTTGTGGTGTGGACTCTGCTATTCTTTAATATTGAGAACGATTTTTAGAACTATATCTTTATCGTTATCTTTATAGTTATCGTCCTTGGTGTGTCGTCCATATCATGCAAAATTATGTACTGAACAAAAATGAAAAAGGCAGAGCTATAGTGCGCAGGTCTTTAGGATTTGTTCATGTAAAGAAGACAAACAGAATTTGCTAATTTTATGTTCCGTTTCCTTTTTTGAAGGTTTTGAACAAAGAGAACTTGTCTTGGCCACAGAACTTCATCCAGTCGTATGTTACACATAAAACAGGTGAGCTGTCAAACACATCTGAATGCACTAGCACTCCTCAGGACTCGATTCTCAGTGATGATGAAGATGACGATGATGGTGATGACGTGTATGTTTGTACAGTGAGAGAGGAGGAACGCAGGAAGCTAATGAGGAGAAACACTGAGCTGAATCTTGAGTGTGAACATCTGAGTGAAGAGGACAAGAGACTCTGCGATTCTCTCTCGGTAAGAAACTGTGCTAAAGGGCTTGGTTGAAATATAGACTACCTAATTTTAATCTTGATTTTTACAAACCCATATTGATTCTTAATTATAAAAAGTATATTTTTTGTAAGATTATAAACAGTGTTGACATTCTTTACAGGGATGCATTAATCCGATACTCAGTATCGGTATCGGCTCCGATACTGGCATTTTCTGCCGGATCGGGTATCGGTCAGACGAGAGTCACGAGACCGATCCAAATACGATATTGTGCGTATACTACTGTGTTATTGTTAAGCCCCACGAAAGGCACAAAAACATTATAAAGCACCATAAAGTTTTTGTGCACTATATTTCAAGTGTTCTGAAGATGTTCCATAGTTCAATGTGAAGTATAGATTAATATTTTAGTCAATTTCCCGTAAACTCTTCTCTCCGCTGCATCTGTCTGTCATCCTCCATTCAGCATTCAAACTGGGTCACGTTCAGTTACTACAGTCAAAACGATGAAACTCTCTTCAAGAGCGCACAATAACTGAGATTTAAAACTGTTAAAAGAAACTATTGCACAGATATAATACACTACACATCAATATCTCTTCCCTTTGTGCTTTGAACTTTTCTATGCGGATCGCTGCGTGCTGTGACTCTGTGTTGCTTCAAGCGCATCTTTCTGCGCACGGGATGTGCATAAGCTCGGATCAGATCGGTTCTGAAAAAATGGTATCGTTGCGTCCCTAATTTTTTACAGCTTTTGGGAATATATTATTACTTTAAAAAGGGCAATCTGATAACAGGGTTGATGCATAACCTGGGGACTGGTTCATTAATTTTTAAACCAAGCAACTGAAAAAAGATGAACATAGAAGAACATTAAAACTGTCTGTGTCTGACATTGCTCTGTCATACAATTTTAAATCTGTGTTCAACAGAAATGCATTGAGCTGAAGGAGCGTCTTTTGGGTCAGCAGCGGGAGACTCAGACGTCCCTTGAGCGTCTCAAGACTCTGATCCGACTCATCCAGCGTGACCAGATGATCCAAGTAACTATGACGGCCACCACGACCACCGGGGCATCGCTGCTCTCGCTGCCGTGGATCAAAGCCACGGGCAGCAGCACCAGCACCACGGCGCCCACAGCTGGCTCCTCCGCAGTACTGCACAAAACCACGCTTCAGCCGCAAGGCAACAACTGACCCCGGACCCACACAAACACGCAGAACAGCTCTCTCTACAAGACCACCAAATGTCTTTGTAAAGAGACACGGACGGTGATATCCAACCAACGTGCATTTTCTTCTGGTAATGTCTTACCATAAAATAATGGAAAATTTTGAGAGAAAAAAAAAAGTTCAAAAGAAATTATGAGCGTCACTCAATTCATAAGTATTTTTAAAGCCAACACACAGTGCTCACAAGATTTTTTTTTATTCACTGTTTTTTAATGTATTATTTTTCTTGGCCTTAATGTATTTATTACTAGATTACGATGCTGTTGCAAATATATGAAATAAGTATTCTACATAGTTAGAAACATTTCTTTTTATGCTTTGCGTTTTTTACTGGGGTTTGGTGTGTGCGCGTATCGGGGGGGAATAATCGTTCGCATTTAGTTATTGAGAAGGTTAGCGTAGTTATGAAGACAAGCGACATATGAAATGGAGAGCACTGTACATTGATATATCGGAATAAACGTTTGTTTTCTGTTTTTGATGAACAATGTTTGCCATAATAATTCAGGTTAAAGCGAGACAGGGAAATGTTTTCGTTTTGTTCATTTTGTGTGTACCTGCGAGCATACAAACATAAAAAAAAAAAACAACAACATGAAATAATTTTTCAGTATTAATAGAGAGAAAAGAACAAAGTATTTAAGATAACAACATAATTTAGCCTTTTTAGTGAAGAATTTAGTATTTTCATGCTGATGCCTGTTAATGATTTCAAATAAGTATTGGAGAGAGGGATCTTTGTACATATATGATTTTTATTTTATTTCGGCTGTCCCAACAACACAAACGAAAAGGCCATTTGAGTTCTTTGAGTGCCTGATCCCAGAATCCAAAAACTTATGTTTTGTCTCCCCACTATATAAAATATGCCAAAAACCCTTGAGTGTTTTTGTACCGTTAACTGTTTAATGTTTTCATCTCATCTTGCTCTCTTGTCCGTTTTTAGTTTTCTCTGAAGTGTTTTATGTTTTTACTTTCTTTTTTCACATCACTCCAGGATTATCACAAGTTGCATTATTATTATTATTCTTTTTTATTCAGATTTTTTAAATGTTAGAAATGAACACTGCCTGATGAATAAGAGTAAAGAATTCATATCTAAAAAAGTCAATGGAGAAAAATAGGAAATGATTTGAATGGTACTTCTTTGGAGGGAAAGTTTAGCATGTTCATTTGAATGGTTTGTCTTCCTGTGTGGTTTGGTTCGAAAAACAAACGCCACATCCCTGATGGAGTTACTACAAAATGCAAAAGGAATAACAAGTCGCACACGGTTAACGACAGCACTATCGTTCTCAACAAAGGATATTTCATTAAAAAACAAACATTAGTTTTAGTTTTGATTTAGTGTTAAATAAGAAATACCATCATTATATATGTATACCTTTAAGGGCTAACAGACTTGTATTTAACCACATTTGGAGTAAAATCTGTTTTTTCTTTCTTCCGTTTAAAAGGAATATCTACTGAATTCATATGCAGCTCAATTCGGGTGTTAGATTTGGTAGCATATGTAAATTGTTTTTTTGTGTAACATTTTCTATGAAGTCTGTATATGTAATGTAATATTATATGTGGTAATGTTATAAATGTTAACGTGCTATTGCATTAACTTTAAAAAGCTTGCAATTAACAGTATTATTACAGCATTTATTAATCTTTGTTATTTATTTAATTTATAAATATATAATTGTTCATTGTTAGTTCCTAATGTTAAACTATCCGGAATGAAACAAATTTGTAGACTCAACTTAAGCTTTACTTATGCTATTATAGATTAAAATTAAGATTTTTTTATGTATTTAATTGTTTTCCTATTACAGATTAGAAATTCAAAACAAACCAAGATTAATAAATGTTGTAAAAAGGTGTTATTGTCAAATTATTTTATAATAAATAAATAAATTAATATGACCACTTATAATATTCTAATACTTATTCATGCTCAGTACAACACATTAAATGTGATCAAGACCGTTGTTATTTTGTGTTAGATATTTAAAAGGTATAACCATAAGTATGTGTTGTATGTATTACAATACATGAAGCATTATTTATACAGACGTCATAAAAAGTGATTTTTTTCCCCTATCAGGTCCTGTATTATCATATTCAGAATGTAACTTAATGCATATCATTTATTGTTTCATAACAATTGCTCCTGCTAAGTACTGCATTGAGATCAGTAAAAAAAAAAATCTTGGCAAGCAGCTTTCATATTTTTCAGTAAAAAAAAAAAAAAAAAGTAAACATCCCTAATTTACCCAGCCATCTAGCATCTGTCCAGAACACCATAGCAATGATTGGTCATGCACTCAGAAAACTGTAGTAACCACATAGTGCTATAAACCACACAGAAAACCTTAGCAAATGTATTGCTGCACCCTGGCAACCACCTACAACCCCTGATGACTGCTTAGTAATACACTAAAATGGCTTAAGATTACCAACCGCATGTCAACACACTAAAACACTGTGTTGGGGAGTAAGTTACATGTAACAAAATTACGTAATTTAATTTGAAAATAAATGTAACGGAAATCTGTTACAGTTACTGAGAAAAAATTTGCAATGAAATTACAGTTACTTATGAAAATGTTAACAATTACTGTACTATTTATTTTCACACACATTACAGATATGATTGATTTCTTTCCCAAATTGCATTGACTGCTTTAAAATATGAGACACCGAAGTTTCAGGAGTTTAGACACAGAATAGGACACGTTTGTTTGATATCTATTTTATTTGCTATTTAGGTTTATGTATATGCTTTATATATATATTTTTTAGATTGACTGTTTTGTTTCAAGTTACTGTTAGATGGCAATGTTTCCTGTCATCATAGCTATGCAAGGATTTAATTTCAAACTATATAATCTGTATTTAACAATCTCAGATTTAACCTCAGAATGATCTCAAAGTAAAAAGAGGTGCTAAAGTCTGATTTTGTGGTGGTTGTGCTTTAAAATTAAATTATTATAATCTTAATTCAAGTGATGGAGGATTTTGAAAGTCTGACAGTAATCAGTGTTGAGTACTACTGTAAATTTAACCCTGCCTGCTTTAAATGTTTGAAAATGATTAACAGCTGAAAACATTCATTAGAAATTTTGAAAAGTAATCAAATGTAATCAGTTGCATTAATAAAGTAATTGAAATAGTTACACTACTTGTTACATTATACATATACTTGTAATCTGTAATCTATTACATTTCAAAATAACCTTCCCAACACTGATAAAAAACAAATACAATCTTGTGGCAATATTTTATGTTTTGGCGAATTGGTGGCTAATTTGTATTAATATGTATGTTTTCATACAATCTGCTTGTGCCCTAATGACAGTTATGTTTTGGGTGAACCTTCATGCTTACTTTTTCTTAAAAAAAAATCATAATTTCATATGATCCACATCACTACGTCATAAAACAGTTATGTTATGATATCAGTTTGAAAAAACAACAGCATAGCAACTGCACAGCAGTACCCTGGTGTAACGATTCAGTCCACTGAAGGCAAGCATAGTGAAGAACCCAAGTGCAGTTTATTTACAGACGTGATCCAAACATAAACCAAGACACAGACTTGACGTGGCTGAACAGACTAGCCGTGGCATGAACAGACTAGACTCAGCGACAGCGGGTTACAACTTCAATACACGACGATAGACAATGGCAACATGATGGCTACTTATAACAAACAAGGAGGGTCACATGACATGAACAAACCAATGGGAAACAAGACACATGACTAAGACTACCAATCAGAACATGACACAATGAACAAGAGAACCAATGGCATGAATACATGAGGGCAAGGGAAGCATGACACAAACAGGGTGAAACAAGACATGGACAGACCACTTGACTGAGTTCATGAACGGTCTCCTTGGCCGTGGCAGGACAGACTGTGAGTTTGTGAGCGGCCTTCATGTCTGTGACAGGACAGACAAAGCGTTCGTGAACGGCCTCCGTGGCCGTGACAGGACAGACAGTGAGTTCGTGAACGGCC